CACACACACACACACACACACACACACACACACACACACACACACACACACACACACACACACATCTTCCCTTCTTTTCAAATACACAAACTAGACACCATGTCGACCGCGACCTATTCCGTTTGGAATATGTGTTAGGGGAAGAATCAAGAGTTGCCCTTCAGTTTTTTAGCATGGCCCCTGCGCAACGATGATAGGCGTGAGTCGAGAAATGGTTCGTTCGAATTTAGAGGGAAAAAAAGAAGGAAACAGAGTTACAACCAGTAGTTAGTATTTTGGCTGAGATCAAGTGTAGTATATGTTATGATGAATCTGATCCTTTTTTCTGATTCCCCCCAAAAAAAAGATTTGTCATTTAATTTAGGAGTTGGCCTCGGGGATGTCCCAGCCGTTAAATTTGGAACAACATAGCGAAAGAAGATTAGTATGGACCCTGCACAGTTTAGAATGACACCCGTAAAGTTGTGTAAACTGAGAAATGGACCAAAGGGAAAAAAAAGAAAAAAAAAAAGAGTCCTAAGACTCCTAACAGTTACTTAGTACTCGAGCATAGTCGATGAGTCGATAAGTAGTGCACAGAGTGCTAGGGGCAAGCCCCCTCATCGACATGCTATGAGACCCCCAAGATCAGTTCACGCCATAACAACTCCAGCATACATTTGAAAAAAAAAAAAAAAAGGATTCCATCATAATATGATCATATTGACGTAGTACGGTAGTACACTTTTTTTTTTTTTTTTTTTTTTTTTTTTCCCATTTTGAAAGCTGCCTTCTCCTTATTGGGGGACAGCCATATATTTTTCTCTTGCCAGGCTCACCTCACATATTTTTTAACTGGCGTTCTGCCATAACATCTCATGGAACATATCTTTCATTCACTACCTACCTACCACTGCTCTTAAGACTTTACAGGGGACCCCTGCAAGCATGCATAGCTTTCTACCTCTCTTCAGTGAAGGGAGGTTACCTCTCTCGGTCGTTGGAGAGGGGTAAGGGCATGTTTTCCCCTTTGCCCTAGCGTTTAGGGTGCAGGGTTGGGCCCGCCGGTGGGGGCCCCGCTAACACAACGATCAAGCATTTCCCAGTAGCTGCGCCTCCCTTTTCATCTTCCCCCACCCCCATCGAGTAACAGTAGTGTCTAGACTCTAAAGCCAACACTCTCCCACACATCACACACAACCCACTCACACGCGCACTCACACCCGCGTTGGCTGAAGACTTTACTACGAATACCGACTGGGAGGATCCAGCTGACTATCTCAGTTGGTTGGCACCAAGAGTGCCACAGGCGGCCCTTCTATTCTCCATATTCCAAAACAAAAACAACAGGGGATATTCAGTCAGGCGATTTCTTGAGGAACATTTAGAGAAATTTTGGACTGAGAGTGTTTTTTTTTTTTTTTTAATAAATAAAATAATCTGTTAGAGTAGGTTCAAACTTTAAAAGTTAAAAACCCTTTATGTGTCTGTGACTTCGTCATTTTCTGCCCCACTGTTATTTCCTCTGCAAATATGTGCTGTCGTTACTGAAGTACTGGATAGTTGGCCCCACTGCGCCACTCACAAAAAGGCATGGCAGCGGCGGACAAGCGAACCGGACAAGTCCGGACACCAGAAACCGGATTTCCCGGTTTCATCCGAACGTCCGGATTTCCGGCAATTTCCGGTTTAATCCAGACATGTCGAGATCCCTGTCTGGATGGGTGTATACGTCCGGGAAAAAAAAAAGAAAAAGAGAGAGCACATACAAAGCGCAATACGAAGTACTGCAAATGCATTGAAAACAATGAAAAGGCCATGTGGCACAGGTAGGGGGAAGACGAGGGGGAGGAGGAGCAGCAGGAGGGCAAGGACGTGGACGGGAAGGAGCGGGAGGAGGACGAAAGGAGGAACACGACAACAAAGATCCAGAAAAAAAAAAGACAGAAAAAGGGCGCCATGTGGCATGAGCAGGGAAGGGAGTGGTGGAGGTTATAGCAAGTACATGATGATGACCAAGACGAGGAGGAGGAGGAGCAGGAGGAGGACGAAGACGTGGAGAAGGAGCGGAAGCAGGCCGAAGACATGGAGAAGGAGATGGTGAATGGAGGAGCAGAAAGGAGGAAGCCCATGATAACGAAATGACGAGAGAGAGAGAGAGAGAGAGAGAGAGAGAGAGAGAGAGAGAGAGAGAGAGAGAGAGAGAGAGACGCAGAGAGGAGTGAGCACTTGGCCCCATGAACAGAAAAGGAGGAGGAGGAGGAGGAGGAGGAGGAGGAGGAGGAGGAGGAAGGTGGAGGAGGAAGACCATAACGGCGCGCGCGCGCGCGCAGAGAGAGAGAGAGAGAGAGAGAGAGAGAGAGCTGCTTGCGCTGCTCTTGCTGGGCTGCTTGCATTGCCAGTCCTGCAGTGCCTGCTCTGCGTCTGCTCCTTGCCTGCTATGGCCGCCTCGTTGCCCTGCTTCTTCCTCCCTCTGACGATGGCGGTAGTGGCGGGCATGCAAGCTTGAACGTTGTTGTGAGAGGGGGGGCGGCCGAAATCGCAAGGCGAGAGGAGGAATTCGAAGACTGCACCCACTACCAGGCTGCCACGATGCAAGGATGACATTCAAACAGGCAGAAAACATAGAAGGAAGAAAAAAACTTCCCACAAGCAAAAACAAAAATTATGGCCCTACCGGATGCCCCTTCAGGCTTCAGGGCCAAAAAAAAAATGCTCGTACTTTTGGCTGGCGACCCTGGGCGCGACGAAACGCCCTGGACTGCCAAACTTTCTTTTGGCCGTCGGCCAAAGGGTCTGAAATCCAGACCAGGATTTGGACACGTTTGCCGGACACCGGACGGTCCAGATCCCGGTCCGGAGGTCCGGATCGCTGCCATGCAAAAGAGTCCAAAACGACAATGAATGTTCAACGAGAACATGGAGCATACACATACACAGGCTCGACCATAATCGTTGTCTTTTCTGCATCTGGTGGGTGTGGACCGAAGCCCACAAAATAACGCGTACAGTTTTTGTGGATAACAATTTTTGGTTAACCCATGTAGGAAGCAAGAGGTGCAGCGATGCAACTGCTTTCGGGACTGTGATTTTTCAGCCGTCTCTTGAGTTTTCAGCAGACTGAGTCTCTTTTTTTTGTTTGTGGCAGGCGTGAGGCTCAGCCGGAGGTTGAGAGCCTGAGACCCTACGGTTCATGTATTTCTATTACATTTTGTAGTATTTGTACTTCATTTTTCCTCGAGATTGTTTCTTTATAAAAAAAAAGAAAAAAGAAAAAAAAAGCAATGGAATGCGGATGCTCTAGGCTGACCTCCTCACACACAACAGCACCACCTCCTCACACACAACATGACCACCTCCTCACACACAACATCACCTCTTCGCACTTGACAATGTGTTCTGTGAACCGACGGAATGATTATTGTCAGGCGTACCTTATCGAAGTCTGGCAAGTCCAATCGCGATGCAGACACCATAAGTCTGTTCATGTTCATCATGGGTCTGAACAATCGACCGTGTCCTTGTGCATCCTTGTAGACCTGCCCCCCAGAAAAAAAGCATGTCAACATCTTCAAAAAAGACTCTAGCATGCAGAGCGCAACAACAGTTCCTGGCAAAAAAAAAAGTTGAAGTTCTGTTTTAAAGTTTTTTTAAGTTTTTTTTTACGCCATTAAGACAGAAGTCGAAAGTGAAGTGCTCTGCAAGTACGCAGCACAAAGCAGGGCCTGGCCCCCAAGCAACTTGCTTACACTCCACGCAAGCATTCTCCACAGAGACCCTCAGCATTCAGATCGAGTCCGTAGTGCAAGTCGTGAAAGAAGACGTGGAGAGCGAAACAGGCAGAGGGAGAACAGGAAAGAGAAAAGAAAAGAGAGAGAAAGAGATAAAAGAGAGAGAGAAAGAGAGATCTTATCATCCTCTCTTCGCACACATCACGACCTGTCTCTTATACACATCTAGATGTGTATAAGAGACAGGAGAGAGAGAGAGAGAGAGAGAGAGAGAGAGAGAGAGAGAGAGAGAGGAGGAGGAGGAGGAGGAGGAGGAGGAGGAGTCTCAGAGAGGAAAAACGAGAGCAGAGAAGAAAATGTGTTTGATGCCATGTTCAGAGAGGTGGGAGTGGCAGAAGCGGGTGCTGAGATGCTGGGGGATAAGTGGCATCAAGTGCCCTCATGACGAGCCGATGGGAAGATGATAGTTGAAGCCGACAAAGAGATGGGCTTGGGGACTGGGAGTGCCAAAGATTTACTGACCTACGTATGACTCTCAGGGCGATGTTCAGATCGTCGGAGCGGGGAATTGTGTCTCACCTGCTGTCTTCCCCCGAACATGCAACCTGTTGATCTCAAATCAGAACACTTGCCACAGGGCAAAGTGAGCTGGGATAAAGAGAAAACTTGCAGATGTGAATTTCAGGCCACCCCAGCATGGCTAGTACAAAATACTACCATGACCAAGTGAACCCAGACTCAACTCCAGCCAAATGGCCCCATCGAGCTAAGCTCAAGGGTTTGCATGCCGAGCAACCCGGGTGAAATCTCCCGGGAGCTCAAAACGTGCTGCGTTCGAACTTCGAAAGCTCTTTTTGCATTCATAACCTTCCAAGCGCCAATCCCAATCGCTGAACCAAACTAAATCGCTTATCATGTTATCAGCTTATCAGCACCTCATCAGCTCATCTGCAGCTTATCAGCTTATCCGCATTTTTTAAGATTATATCTGCAGCTTATGAGCTTATCTGCAGCACATAAGCTGAAGCCGAAAAACTGCTGATATGCTGATAAGCTGCCGATAAGATGATAAGACGATACACTGCAGATGAGCTGATGATCTGCAGATAAGCTGATGAGCTGCTGATAAGCATTTTTTTTTTTCTTAAAGAAAACTCCAAGCGGGCTGGCACTTGAGGAGGTGATAAGAGCATCCTCCTAAAGTGGGCCCTCAGGCGGAGACTCCATCTATTGGTGGTCTATTGGTGGGAAGCATCACGTGCTGGGAACCAGGTCCAGCGTCCCATACCGAATAAAATCATGAAGATAGCATGCAGACATGTGTAAGCGCGACTGTCTTCAATGTGCTTTCTATAAAGTGTGGCAATGGTAATTTGATGCCACAAATCATTCCTCCCGTTGTTGAAAAAAGCACCTGCTGTAATTTGATAGGACGACTATTTTTGGGAAGAGTCCCCTATTAGAAATCCATGGTGGCGAGTCCGGCTGGCCTTCTTTTTTGGGGTGAGGGCTTAGGTAAGGGCATGGAGGTGGAAGGGAAGATGAGAAGAATGAGGAAAAACACTGCTGAGGGAACGTGGAAAGGTGTACGGGAGGAGAGGGAGGATGGTGAGAGGGGCGAGTAAGGGACATAGAGAAGCACAGAGTCTGAGAGTGTTTTTGGAGTGGATGGGCAGTGGACAGGGCTTATGAACTATGAGCGGGCTTTTAAGGAGGCCTCTGGGGGGTTCATCTCAGTTCATCCTGGTCTCTAGTAGTAGCTCATCTGATCCTCCTTTAATGGGGGTCGAGAAACAACTTTCTGGTCTAAATTGTCATTGGTCTTCTCTTGCTGCCCAGTTTTCCAGACTAGTGTGTGACGAGCTATTTCCCGTACCCATCTATCTTCCGTAGCCCCCAATTTTGTTGAACCAGCAGCTCCCTCACC